ATCAACACAAATGGTATTCTGACATTCAACATCGAGTTCCCAGAATACATCAATCAACCATTCCCACTGGAGTATCCATCGATTGCGCCATTCTATGCCAATGTCGATACAACCCTTGCCTATAACATAACCTCAATATCAGTTTTTGAATCAAGCGATGAACAACAACTGCAAAGAGCGACGGATTTAGTGAAATATGCTTACCCAGATAAATCAGATTTTGTTGCAGACAAACTGATTGTGGCCACCTGGAAGAATGTGGGACACTTCAGTGCTAAGAATGATAAGCTCAATACATTTCAGGTGAGTTGGTTTTGGGAAGTAATTAATTTACTTAAATTTTTTGTATTTATTCTTCTCGAAATAGGCTGTTCTAATTGCCAATGAAGAGCAAACTTTTGTGCAATTCATTTACGAACACGACGGTATCCAATGGTTACAAGGCGAGACCGGTGCTTTGGGTTTGCCAGATATACGCGCACAGGCGGGTTTTGTCGCTGAAGATGGACGTCATTATTACATTGAGGGCTCCGGCACGGATAGTGTGAGTATTTATTAGACGCTTACTGGCATTAGTGTTATGTTATATTCTCATTCATTCACCCCCAGGCCCGCTTCACTTTCTCAGAAAACTCGAATATTGGTGTGCCCGGCGTTTGGTTATTCCATGTGGGCGCTTTGAATGAAACCGCCAACGTGGAAGTGCCCATCGATCAGGAAGACCTCAATGTTGTGCCGCAAGCCGCCACTTGCGCTGAGAGCGGACACAAAACTTGCAACTTCAATGCGGATTGCCATGATAAGTCAGATGGTTTCTGCTGTGTGTGTCACGAGGGGTTTTATGGCAACGGCAAAGCTTGTCTCAAAAACGATTACCCCATACGCGTTACTGGCACCTTGGCTGGTCAAATCAATGGACAAGTTATCGACGAACGCGCCAAACTGCAATCGTACGTCGTCACAGCTGACGCACGCAGTTATACAGCTGTGAATCCCGTCAGTGCGGAGTTGGGCGCTCAGCTGCGCCTTATTGTGCCCGTCTTCAGCGCCATTGGTTGGCTCTTCGCCAAGCCGTTGAAAGGCGCTCTGAATGGTTATCACTTGACTGGTGGTGATTTCGTGCATTCATCGCGTATACGCTTTGATACGGGTGAGTCGTTGCTTGTGAATCAGACTTTTGAAGGTCTGAATTACTGGGATCAGCTTTCCGTGAAGCTTGAGCTCTTCGGCGATGTGCCATTCGTGAATGGTAATGCCAAATTACATATGGCCGATTATGTGGATGAGTACACGTACGTGTCCGCCAATGAGGTGCATTCCGTTCATACGCACACAATTGAAATTCCCGAAGAAAGTCGTGTTATTAACTTCCAGCTCGAACAGTCTATTTCCTTCGATCGTTGTGTGCTCGATTATGCAGATCTGTCTACAGGCAAGAGTGTGCTACAGAAAGCATCGAAGATTGTTTTAGACTACTTTGAGAGAGATCAGGCACTACGTACCAGTGTCTTGACCAAGATTGGTGTCGATGCTGAGTCGAATGCTTGCACCGATGGCACTGCCATCTGTGGTGAGAACACCGTTTGTGTGCCGTATGAGGATACCTACCGTTGCGACTGTCGTCATGGTTTTGCGCCACAATTGCAGGCAGATAACTTGGAGGTCTGCGTAGATATTGATGAATGTCTCTTGCAGACGCACGCCTGTGATGAGAACGCACTCTGCACCAACAACGATGGTGGTTTCACGTGTGTTTGCTTTGATGGCTTCGAGGGTAACGGTTATCGTTGTTTGAAAAATGATACCGCTAATGATGAGCAAGCGGCTTATACGCCGGACTACATTATCAGTGGCAATTACCAGGATGAGTGTCAGGTTAGTAGAAGAGAATCATAAATATTTATAAATACTCAATATTTCACTTTCTATATTTTATTCTCTTTCCTTAGCGCTGTTCACACGATGCCGATTGTGTGGAGGGTCGTTGTCAATGTCGTGCGGGTTTCGATGGCGACGGTTATGAGTGCCATCATGTGTGTGGTCATGATCAAGTTTTGGAAAATGGCCGCTGTGTTCCCATTCTGTTGGATGAGCATCAAGTGCAACCTCAGTGTAATTTCTTGGGCGACTGCACGTGCCCGGCTGGTTATGAGTTGGTCGAGGAGTCCCAAGTTTGTCGTTATACCGCGCAATACAGCACCGATTACAAGTCAGATGAACTTGGTGAGTAGTTGAGATTTAATTACTTTTTTGCGAGCTACCCTGAGGGCCATGAAATCGAGCTCAGACCAGATCAATAGCTTCGGAATTATACAAGGAACAAATGGGAAAACGGGAATGTATATATCTACCGTATAGACAGGCTTAAAATTTCTGGTGCCTCCGCTTGATCTGTTATAAAACATGACCAGATTGTAAATAACTTCAATATCAAACTCAATCACCCTTCTACATCTTGTTCTTCTTGAAGTTTAGGTTAGATTGATAGTGGGGTTCGAGAAACCGAAATCTGACGGATACACAACTAAAAGGCATGCCAGCATACAGAAAATAGTATCAAGACTTAGAACTAAACCTAAAATGCTACCGAGAAACGGGTGGGCGGAGGGCAAGGCCATCGTTAACACTGAACACGTCCAAATCTATGCCGACGAATCTAAAGGCAAGGCATGCACCGCAGCCGGTTTCTATTGAGCCAACCCCAAGATAACTTCAGTCTCGATGACTACAATTCCGTCTTCAAACATAGATTGTGGTTTTCACTGGACGTGCCAATTGGACAACAGAGACAATTAACAGTTACGAAAACACGGTGAATATCAATTATTTACCAGGTCACACGGCGCCACAAGTGATTGCCGCAGACCTTTCAGCGCCTTAAAATGTTGTCTAATGCCATAGATCGTCCAGGAATATTTTGAGTCTTTCGCTGTGTGGTCACACATGGTTGAAAGATATTAAATCAGTCTTTTAAGCTGGGGAGCACAATGAGTCTACTCAATGGCTTAGGTGGGACCTCTGCCAGTGAAGTTTTCAAACTCTGCACTAAACCAAGCAAAGCGAAGTCTTGCTGCTTCAATTATTCATGATTTTGTATCGGAAGAGGTTTCGTATTGCACGAAGACCCTGACAGATGATCTCAATACATACATCATTTGTCATATCGACGTCAAGACATAGCCGAATGAAAGTCAAAACTTGTTCATAGAGAAAGTCCTTTTTAGTAAAAATTGTTTGAAGCGTCTTTCCGTCAACCTGCACGTTTTAACATATGCTTCGGTGCCATATGTGAAACACTTTGAGCAAACTTCATTGGGGGCAAAGCTAACTGCTCTCCTGAAAAAGGCTCTGGCATCGAGATGGATTTAGAGACCACTCATATGAAGAGCGAAGGTCTAGGATATTGTTTGCCCAGTCCGTTGCGGAATTTGGTGCCATCTTCAATCTCTACCCCTGCTCTCTTGGCAAAATGGTTAAGCTTGGAGTTTCAGACTTAGGTTAGAGTATGTTAGGTCATTGGATTAAAGCTGCAAAATCGTCATAAGGCATATGTGAACTATCATAATAGTAGTAGTTAGTATGAAAGGAATAGAGAACTTTGGACTGTCGTAAATACCTCGATATTGGTAACTACGTACAGACCGTATCACTTAACAAAGTAAGAATCACTTAAATAGAAAGTAAGAATTTGGACGACAAGCCTATAAAGAGAGAAAAATATAGGGAAAGTCATTGATAGTGGAGGATCTGAAGTCTTCAAGGCAAAATCTATGAAAAGCTTATGGGAAGTGTAGTAGAAAATAGGGGTTGGTTTACTAAATAAGACTGAAAATCTAATAAGTTCCTTTCAAAATTTCAGTACCTTGTGATGTGGACGCCAACTGTCACATAAATGCCACTTGCGAGTGGTATGAAAATGAAATGCGTCACGCCTGCACGTGTAATCACGGCTTCCAAGGTGACGGCTACAACTGCGAACTAATCGATACATCTTGCACTTATGTAAGTAACACGAAAACTTAGGAACGGAATATAATAAGAGCTTTTGTTTTCAAACTTCACTCCCAACAGAACGCCGACGTCTGCGACCCACACGCCTTCTGTGAATACAACGAATCACGTTGCATATGCGAGGAAGGCTACGAAGGCGACGGCTATCACTGTCAGTTGGCGCCCGATTGTCGGGATAATGCGACGTGCGGACAGAATGCTTTCTGCGATGTGGGAGTTTGTCAATGCTTGGCTGGTTTCGAACGCGATGTGTCGGACATTTGCGTGCCGGCGGGACGTTGCGGTCCTGTCTTTTGTGGTGCAAATGCAATCTGCAAGTGGGACTCCGTACAGGGTGTACAATATTGTGATTGCATTGAGGGATATGCGGGTGATGCTTTGGAGAGTTGCCGCAGCATACCGCCGCCATGCAATGTGCGTAACAACTGTGGTGTGCATGCCACATGTGAGCCCACCGAGTGAGTAAACGGCAAGTTAATGCAGATTTTGCTCTAATTAAACAAATTTATTTCTCTCTCCACATAGTGATCCTGCCATTTATGAGTGTCAGTGTAACGCCGGCTTCCACGGCGATGGTTATGTTTGCGTAGAGGATCAAAACTGTCTCAATACGCCGCAAATGTGCGATATGAACGCCAAATGTTTGTCCACCAATAATGGGCTGCTCTGCGTGTGTAATCAAGGTAAGTTTTAAGGATTAACTTAATGCTCGTTTGGTGAGTTCTGATCTTCCCAGAAACGTTTTGCAAAAGGATACATTTTCGCTTTGATTCTATGTTATTTTTGTGTTGATTCCCATCTTTATTCTTGTTTTTGTAATTTAAGTACATTTTTATTTCTTTCCTTTTTGTTCATACGAAACTGTGCGCGGTGCCTCACTCTTGCACGCAGTGCAAAAGCAGTAACCGAATATCGCTAAGCCGAGTAGTATGTTGAAGTAACCGTTATTGCGATCCCAGGTCAGCGGATGTAGTAGAAATTCACGCAAGCCACCCATCGTTGTCATTCTTGGCTTTGGTGTATGTCCACCACTTATTTGCGGTCCACTGGGCCTCATCGTTGGCGGCACTGTGGCGAAGAGTCGACTCTTTCTCATTGGCTGCAGTGTCTTGAGCTTCTTTGTTGCTAGGCTATGTATAGCTGGAAATTTTGACAAATTATGTAATTTACGTATTAAATTTTGAAGAAACATTTTTTCCAATTATTTGTAAAAAAGCGAACTTTTCCGATCGAATTTTTTGAATTGACACTGAAAGATGAAGCTTGAACTGCGTGAATCATATTGTTTTAGAAGATTTGAAAGTGTTTTTTTTGTGAAAATGTTTTAGAAACAGTTACACGCAAAAGCTTCCAGGAGCTCTATCGAAAACTCGATTCTTTAATTCCTTACCGGGAAGGCAGATACGAGTGACAGGCGCACCTTGGAATAGAGAGCGACCCTTGTGCAAGATTCGGATTTAAACTTACCCGCCTATGTTGTTGGCAGGGTTTGTGGACTCAAACGTAGAAATCATCTCCAATAATAATATTTATAACGCCCCAGATGAGATACGCTCCTTCTGATGACGACCCCACAAATGTTTTATGGATCACAAATTGAAATTAATGCACCTGGCATGTTCGGTCTCTCAATTAGGAAGGTGCCACTGCCCAACTGGTTGAGGTCCTCGCTTAACTAAAGGCTGACATCACCGCCGTCCAAGAAGTGCGATGGACGGGACATTAGCGGATGTGATTTGGTCCTATTGGTGTTGAATTTGTGATGGGAGAGAGGCTCCATTGCCAAGTACGGGCATTCACTACGGTGTATGAACGTCTTGCCACAATCCGCATAAAAACACCCACCCACCGACGGAAGGGAAGGATGGCACAACTATTGGAGAATTCAGCCAGCCTCTATGAGGAAACGTCCCCAAATGGGTTGAGGCTGATCGATTCGCCGAGGCTCGAAATATGGTTGAGAGCGGTACTAAAATCTAGCGTAAGATAATTCATCAAACTATTTGGCTGTCCCCTGATCGAAAAGCTCAAAACCAGATAGATCATGCTGTGATAGTCGTAAGACATGTCTGAGTTTTTTGTGGCAGCCCCGGACCGGATCTCCGATATTGGCTTAAGAAAATTTCGAGAATGTATGAATGAAGCAAGAAAAACAAATCACTATCTAGTGCTGTTTTCAAACTGCCGCATATCAACTCTTGAACCAACTGGAATTTTTTAAATAAGAATTGAAAGTTTAAATTTCAATTGGACAGCTTCAGCTTTTTCTTAAGAGACTTGCTGATATTATGACGATCTCAGGGTTATCGCTAAGGTTAGCTAGCTGTACGCCGGAGTCTTTCCCTGTATTTATGGCACGTGCCTGTCTATGTACGGGTCCGAATGGTGGAGGAGCAAATCCTAGCAACTACCCTTCCAGAGAGGCAGTAGATCGTCGACACCTCTAAATAAAGAAACGTATTAAGGTGGGAAGTAAAATCCACTCCTTCTTAATACCTGGCCTAATGTACAATCGGAAAGGCAGTAACTCCTAACCATTTCATAAAGTAGGGAATAGTAGTCTGGCGGTGCATTGATGTGATGACGTGTTTACGTGATGTGGTGCCGTTGTAGTGATGTCGTGACTTTAAGCGATATATTGATATTGAAAATACTTTTGTAGAAGCTTTCACCGAGACACTTCCGTGTTGATTAGAGGGCCTAAATGTTTCAACATCTGTCCAGCAAAATCTAAGAAGTCGAGCAGAAAGTACTGCGATAACTCCTCCACTTCGTACTTCAGAGTTTCAAGTTTGCTGCAGTCCACACATGGCTGGAAGAATAATATAATTGGCAATATCGTGATGTAAGAACATGTTAGGCCCAGATTTTTCGCGCTGAGTACATCAAAATCTCCAGTGAAAGATCGGCAGTCTTTAGAAATATTTCGAATCGCATGAGTTCAAGGTCCATTGCAATCTTTGAGTAATGAGTCAGTCAACAGTCTCTTCGTAGATATTTCAGGCACTCAGTGATCTGTATCTACACCTCGTGTGTTTCAAAATCGGATTTCTGGTAGAGGAGTATGTGTATAAGGAAAACAAAATATGCAAGAAAGCGCTTAAAATGATTTTTGGAAATTTGCTCTTCGTCTTTGAAATCCTCCTAAAAAACCCCATCCCAGCTCATCATATTGAACAGCAATATTTGAAATAAATACTTTATTTCATCTTTCAGGTTTCTATGGTAACGGCTCGCTCTGCCTGGAACGTCAACAACACGAATCCGGTTTCTTGCTCGTCAGTCAAGGTGTGGTCATTGTGCGTGTGCCATTAAATGGCAAAAATGTAAAACCCATTTCGGTAGCCTCAATGGCAATTGGACTGGACAAGGATTGCGTAGAGGGACGCATTTACTGGGGTGATATTTCGTCGAAGAAAATTGTGAGTGCTAAATATGATGGTACGGACTCGAAGACATACCTAGAAGATGGTGAGTTGAGAGTGATGAAGTTGGAAAATAAATTAAATATATAATTTGATATTTAATTTTTATTTTATGGTCACATCGAACAGACATCGAATCGCCTGAGGGAATCGCCATCGACATCGTTTCACGACGCATCTATTGGACTGATTCGGTTAAGGATACCATTGAGGTGGCCAGTTTGGAGGATCCGACATTGCGCGCAGTCTTGGTTAATAAGAATTTGGTGAATCCACGTGGTATTGCCGTTGATCCATACAGAGAGTGAGTACATGTATAAAGCACGAGGTGGAAGGGATTAAAAAAAGGTTGTTCATTCACTCTTTGGTATTTTGCAGAAAACTTTATTGGTCGGATTGGAATCGTGAATCGCCTAAAATCGAAATGGCCGATCTGGATGGTACTGGGCGTGAGGTGTTATTGGGTAGCGATGCAGTGAATCTACCCAATTCGTTGGTCATACTCGAGAGCAGTGGCGAACTGTGCTATGCTGATGCTGGCACCAAGAAGGTGGAGTGCATTGACTCTTACTCGAAACAATTGCGCACCATTTCCAATGATTTGACCTATCCCTTCGGCCTGACATTCACACACAATCAATTCTACTGGACTGATTGGACAACGTAAGCGTTTATATTTCTCGCTCTTTTTTGGACATTTATCTCTTTAGCTTTCTCATTCTCCCTCTCTCACTCAGTAAAAAACTGGAGAGCGTCGACACCTTCGGCAATCGCCAAAAGGGCATTCAGACACCTTTCTTCGGCAGCCACAAAATGTACGGCATGACGGCCATCGAGGATAGTTGCCCGCAAATAAGCAGTCCTTGCCAGATCAGCAACGGCGGTTGCGTTGATGCACGCATTTGTTTAGTGAACAGCAAGGCTCCGTCGGGCAAGAGCTGTAAGTGCACAGCTCTGTCGAAGACCTGCAATGCTCCGCCACAGTTTGGCGGACAATTTTAAAGTAGCGGCAGCACTTTCTTTTCATTGACTAATACATTAATTAAGAGAAAGCTTAATTTATTAAAATTCTTTTCTGCCTTTATGGCAATCACACACACACACACACACACGCACAGATATACATTTAGTTGAAACAAAAATATGAAAGTGAAAATATTTATTTATAAGCTAAAATACCAATGATTTTTTTTTTTTAATAATTTTTTTATGCTCAGTGCATTGTCCATAAATATATATGTATGTATGTGTTCGAAAATATAGTGTTTTTCGTTAAATTTAAGAAATAAAGAGAAATACATATAATTTTTGGAAAATTCGAGTTTTAATTATTACTAATGACAGGCCAAGAAGCGTGAGTATAAAGAGCTTGGGAAGCTCGCCGACAAGGGTAATGTTTGAAAATTCGAATATGAAAATACTGAGACTTTCAGTAGATTTCAAGACCGGGCAGACTCTTGTAGGATACAAGGAGATGACCCAGTAACCGATGCCCAGAAAACACTTCTCCTTCCCGCTGAATGACAGTGAAAATGAAACACCCGGAGAAGGTGAACCCGAAATTCCAATTGATGTTGATGGAAAAGTTTTTCTATTTTCCGACTAAGAAGAAGTCTGAATAGCAATCGCACGCTTAAAAAACTAAAAAGCGGCTGGAAATTAAATGCGCTCTGCCCAATCCAAAAAAGCGAAGGGAAGCCTCCCTTATATCGCATATAAGACCCTACCGTGATACTTATGCGAAGGACTAAAGCTCACCGTCAACAAACTGACTGCATCTCATCAGTGTGGCTTTTGACCTGGTTAATTAACCATTAACGATATGTTTACCATCCGCCAAATCTTGGAAAACACGCTTGAAAGAAGGATTGACACCAACCGTCTCTTCATCGAACTTAAAGCAGCCTTTAACGGCGCGAAAAGTAAAAGCCACTACGTCGCTATGTCTGTAATCGGTTTTCCCACAAAACTTATACGGCTATGTTGACTGGTATTAAGTAACACCAAAAGTCCGCCAGGATCGGGAAGGCCCTCTCCAAACCATTCGATACCAACTGACTCTTTATAGTGTGATTTCATCAATTTGATGCTGGAGATAATAATACGAGCTGCAGTTCTGAAAAGAGAGAAGGTACAATCTTCTGAAAGAGCAGCGCAACTTCGGGCCTACGCCGATGATATTGACATTATTGACCTCAACAACCGCGTCGGGAGTTCTGCTTTCTCTGGACTTCTCAAGGAATTGAAGGATATGGGTTTGGTGGTAAACGAGAGGGAGACGAAATAGCTCCTGTCATCACACCAACAGTCATCGCTCTCGCGACTCGTCTCCCACGTCACTGCTGACATTTATAGCTTTGAAGTTATAGATAATTTCGTCTATCTTGGAACCAGTATTAACACCAACAACAATGTCAACCTGTAAAACCACTTTGGACTGAGTAGGCAATTGAAAAGTAAAGTCCTCTTTCGACGCACGAAGACTAAACTCTAGATGTCGCTCATCTTTCCCGTCCTGCTATGTGATGCGAAAGCATGGACGATGACAACATCTGATGAGTCGGCGTTGGGAATTATCGAGAGAAAGGTTTTGCGTAAGATTTACGGTTCTGTAAGAGTTGGGAACGGCCGATGAAGGTGTATTAGATGTTCGATGCAATTGACATAATTCAGCGAATCAAGAAACAGCATCTGGGCTGGCTGGGTCATGTGGTCCGAAGGGATAAAAATACTTCAGTTTTGAAAGTTTTTGATATAGTATCCGCCGGTACTAGTAGAGAAGGATATAGCTGTACTGGGTATTTCCAATTGGCACAATGTTATTAATTCGGCTATAATCGCTTAAGCGGTGACTAGACCACTAAAGAAGAATAGTAATTACATGGCAAAATTTGCCCATGATACAACCATAATTCTCATAAAAGGAACGTAGATTAGGGGATTATATTTGTATCGACGAATTAAGCACGAGTTCAGCCAAATTCGCACAAACTAAAGCCAGTCGGAAACTATAAAAACAGCACACGCAATTAGGAAACTTTAATGAATATTTTTTTTTATTAATTCAATTTTTTCTTCTTATTCCAAGTTACAATTTATTTTCTAACAATTAAATTTTTTTTTTCTTTTTTTTCTAATTTTATTTCCAATTGCAATTTGTGGAATTTTATTTATTCTCTGTTTATGAACTATATGGAATTTTACAGTTATAGCCGTAACATTTGCAAACACTTTTTATTTGCAAAATAAATATTATTCAATTTATTTTTATTTTATTGCTACATATCTGCTTTAACATATTTTCCTTCTTCTACATGTTTGCTAACATTTTTCAATTTAATTTAATTTTAACAATAAATTTTAATAGTTTTTAATTGCTAGTTTGTTAAGTATAACGGTGACCTAATGTGCTTAGTTCTATTTAAAATAAAATTGAATTAAGCTGTGCAACTTTGATTCGGGTCTAATGCCTGTTATGTTAATTACTAAAAACGAGAAATTCGAAATAATTGTATTTTAAATATTTTCTAGGCAAAAATTCATTTATCTTGAATTAATTATTGTAATTTTCGTCTCTTTGTCAGTGCAGTTATCAACTTAAAAGAAATACGAATTCTCGTTTTATAAAAAGATATACATTTTTCGAATTATTTTAAAATGAAAGACTCTTAAATTTATTTTTTCAAAAGCCATTGAAATATTAATTAATTAATTTGTGATTAATATTTATTAAAAAAAGAAAAAATATTTTATTTAATTTAATGTAATTTTGGCTGTAGTTCTAAATTTTATTCTATCTTAGTTTATTTCCTTCTTTTTGCTTTATTATATTTTGATTATTTTTATTCCATATCATATTATTCAAAACTTTCCTTAGTATTTATTTGATTTAACATTATTCAATTGCATCTTTAACTTTTTGTTTATTAATTATTTTATTTTATTTTGTTTTGTTTTATTTTAGCTAACTTCATTGTATGTTATCTTTTTTTTGTGTAACAGTTTTTATTTCATTTTTATATTTTATTTTATTTTATTTTAATTTATTTTTATTTATTTTATTTTATTTATACTTATTTGACTTTATTTTATCTATTTTTTATTTTGTTTTATTTTATTTGATTAGATTTCAAGTTATTTTAATTTTATTAAGTTTATATAATTTCAATTCGCTTTTTTGATTTTAATTTAATTTATTTCATGTTATTGAATTCCCTCTTTTAATAAATTTTATTTTATTTAATTTACTTTTTAATTATATTTAATTTATTTTTATTATATTTTAAATTAAATTTTTTGTTTTGCTTGCTTTCAATTTATTTTACTATTATTTTTATATATTTGTTTATTTTACTTTATTTTAAATAGTTAATTTTATTATATTTGTTTGTATTCAACTACTTTTATATTGTGTTTAATTTAATTTATAAATTACTTTATTCGATTTCATCTTATTTCACCTAATTTCATTTATATCAGTTTTATTTAAATTAATTTTACTTGATTTGTTTTGTTTATTTTATTTTAATTTATTTGTTATTTGTTATCTTTTATTGTATTAAATTTTTAAATTGTTTGCGTTTATTTTTACCTATTTTTTATTTTTCCGTTATTTAACTTTTTCATTTTGTTTTATTTTATTTGCATTATTTCATTTTATTTTTATTTATTTAATTTTTCATCTTGTTTATTTTATTTTTATATTTAATTTACTTTTATATATTATTTGAATTAAGTCACTTTTTTATTTTCTTTTAATTTACATATATTTTGTATTTAATTTCATTTCGTTTATTTATTTTTATTCGTTTTAATTTTATTTAGTTTATATGATATTATGTCCATTTTTGTTTGGCTTTTCATTAGCATATTATCTTATTTAGTTTCACTATATATACATTATTAAAATTTATTACTTTATAATTATTGATTTCATTTTATGTTATTATTATTTTTTAACCGTTGAAGCGATTTTCCGGCCGAGCTCCTCCTCCAATTTGTGGATTTGCTTCTTGATGGATTTCCAACGAATGGTCCCTCCATTATGGTTAATACTAATCCGCCTCCGAACGGCGGATGGTTTTTTTACGAGGAGCTTTATTTCATGTCAGAAATGCACTTGGAGAGGTTGAAATTCCCTGCCGAGGCGTGACCACAATTCAAAAATTTAACTTTATTTTTTATTTAAATTAATTTAAATTAATTAATAAGTTTTGGATTCTAGTGGTAGCGGGAAATGATCCCGAGCTTTCCGCTTAACCACTCAGCTATCGCGGCCGCCATCTTTAACTATTTTACCCACATTATATTTGATATTACGTTATTTTATTTTATTTATTATGATCATTTTTTATTAAATTATTTATCTGGTTAATTGATTTTCTTTACTTGATTTTTTTTAATTATTTCTTATTTCATTTTATTTTACTTTAAATAATTTCATTTAGTTAATTTATTTTGTTGAATTTTTTAATTGATTTTTCTATTACATATAATTTCTTTTATATTAATTTATATTATATTATGCCATTTGATTTCATCTCATCTAATTTCAATTATATTAGTTTTATTTTCTTATTAAAGAATATTAAGCTTTAATAATAAAGCTTATTATAACTTTGTAATTATTGATTTTGTTTTATTTTATTTTTATTTATTAACTATTTGATTTATATTATGTTTGTTATTACTTTATTTTATTTTCTTTGATTATTTTATGTTAAATTATGAACTTTATTATGTTTTCTTATTAAATTTTATTTTATTTTACTCTCTTTTTTATTTATTATATTTTCTTTCGTTTAATTGCTTTCAAATTTTTTTTAATATGTTTTATTTGTTTCTATACTTTATTTACTCTTTATTTATTATTTTATTTGCTTTTTTTTTAATAAAACTATTTTAGAATTATTTTTTAATTAAATTAAATGCAATTCGGCTGTTATAATTTTTCTTATATTATTTTATTTAAAATTTTTAAAATATTTATTTCATTTTATTTCATTTCATTTTGCTTTATTTAATTTAATTTATTTTTATTTGTTTTAGTTTTATTTTTATCTATTTTGCCTTTGTTTTGGTTTATTTATATTCATTGTATTTTTACTTTCTTATTGTTTTTTTATTTTTTTGTTTTTATCTAATTTTTTTATTTTTATTTAATTTTATTATTTACTTTATTTTATTTTGCATTTTATGTTTTCTATTTTACCGTTTTTATTATTTTATTTAATTTCTTTTTTCATTAATTTATTTTACTTTATGTTATTGCATTATATGTTTATTATTAATAAATTTAATTTTATTACATTTCAATTTTCTTCATTTTATTTGTAATTTTTTATTATAATTTTTATTATTATTAAATTATAAATGTTTTAATTTTTGTCTTATTTTTTCTATCGTTTACCAATTTTTAATTAATTTCAACGCATAACACTATTTTTATTCATTGTAATAAACAAATTCCCATTGCTTAATTATTGAATAAAATTCACAATAATTTATGTTATTTTTTTTTGCTTTTCTACTGTTTCAGATTTACTAGTTAATTTGTTGAACTAAGTAATTAATTTTCTATTTACAATTTGTTATGTACACACATTACGGTATTTTCTTTGCCAAAGTGCTTATCTAATTATGTTGTAATTGTAGTAGTTTGCTTTACGAGTGCAGCTATACTTAATAGTATTTTACAATTACATCTATTTAGGTTCATTTCCAATTCATATTTGCTTCAGAACGTGTAAGGCCTTATACATATATTACAGTAGTAACTATATACTTACATATAAATTTTATGGGTTAACTTAATGCCAATAATTTGTATTTCTATTTCCTTTTTTTACAATTTCTAACAGATCTCAACGGTCCCCGTCGATTTGGCCCACGACCCACACTTATTGCTAATAAAATTCATTTTCTAAAGTTTCGTTTCTAAACATTTTACTTACAATTTCATTTTGCTTATTTCTTTCAGCAGTTTCTTTTTTTTTAATATTAGATTAAATAATTTTAAATTTATTTTTATTTGTTTCGTATGCCTATAAATACAGTCATAGATCTTCTTCGTATTGATTTTGTTGTTGTCTTTTTTTTACAAATGTAATTTCTCTGATCCTAATATCATCTATAAATCACTACTTTCCATTCGTGTAAAGCATTAATAGTATACCAAAGCGTTTATCAGTTTTACTAAAATGTTTCAATTCTCGATTAGCATAACCTACTCGTACCTACATACAAACATATATTGTATATATGAATATCTGCATCCTTCAGTTGTCATCTGTATATTTACATACTTATGTAATGAATAAAATTTTGCTTTTCTCTTAATTTTTAATACCTAAAATAGTGTTCAATTTGTTACTTACGCTATTGGTGCTTTTTATTTCTAAATATAAATGTGAATATTTAATTGGGTTTCCTAGAATCTTAGTTTAGAACTAAAATTGACATTGTTTTTTTTAGTTTTTTTTTTTATTAAAACTAGGGTTTTGGGTGACTGAATTTCGATTAAATTTTAGAATATTGAAAGTAAAAATTAACATTTTATTTTTACACTTGGGGGATTTTTAATTCCTCGCTGCATGGATTTTGGCGCTGAAGGATCATTTTATCTGTGAGCGGTATCAGGATTAAAACGAATTCTTCATTAAAAATATAAAGTAAAAAGAAAAGGTTTGAATAAACATTATGTGCCTAAAAGTCACCGATATTTTGTTTTATATTTACAGTTATAACTTTTTTTTTAGTGTTCAAACTATCGACTATTAATTACATTTAATTTTATTTTGTGCTTTGGCTATTTTATGTTCACCATTTCTTTGTACAATTGAGTTTATGGTTATTCGTAATGATATTATTTATAACTTTACATTTTTACCAACAAAATACTATTTACAAATCTTTTAGATATCTTCAAAAAAATTAAAAAAACAACGTTAGAAATTACTGTCTTTATAATAATGAGTTCCCTTGTATAGTATTGAGTTTTTAAGAATCATACAAGCTCTTCAAAAATATGGTATTTCTGTATAACACTTCGTTCTCGATTCCAGCAGCCAAGCACACATACGAATCTTCCAGTTTCTTTCATTTCATTCGTAACGTTCTGACAACCAGTGCCCAGGCACAAAAAAAATATTGCACGATAGCGGCATCCCTAACCTTTTTTTTATTTAATAGTGGGTTACTGAAGGGCAGCAGGTGTTGGAAAATATTTATTTTTCCAAAAAATCACCTTAAAAACATTAATTTTCTAGTAAAGCAACGTAGATAATACGGAAAGTAAGCTTAGTATATATTGGAAATCGAAGATTTATATAATCTTATTTACAATTGAAGACGTTGCAATTATGAAAAAAATATTTATCATCGTTAAACAATGTGATTTCGAGAGTTTTAGATTTCATCATCTTCCCCTCGCCTCGCTGAGCCAGTCCAACTAAGCTGAAGTAGATTGAATCAATAGTGTTTAAAAAAACGAGAAAAAATAATGTCACTCCCAACAGCAAAATACAAATATTGCTATGGAAAAACCATTAAGAATGCATCTATAAATCATAAAAAAAATCACCGTGAATCAGCTGGTGAATTTGGGTTATGGATTTTAGAGGTTCATTCCAAAGACCGTCTACAGAGTTTTCCGAGTTTTGCTTTAACTACTATTGAACAGCGCTGACCGGAGTCACTGAGTCCTGTGTTTTAGATAAGCGAAGCAAAAATGAACTTATTACCTTCTATAGGTTTCTCAAATCCTCATATCACGCTTGAGATAAATTTTTTAAATAATATCGAAACGCAATCGATGAAAAAGTGTTAACGTAAGAGAGTGTGAACTGTCTTGAAGTGGTAGATATTTAGTTCCTAAGCGTTCTTAGAAGCGCAAAACATAAAGAGAGAAATTCCGAAGTTATAGCAGAGCGTGACACCGCCCAGAGAGGGAGTTGCTTGTATGAACTGACTAAAGCGATTCACCACGAAAACCGCAAATGACCATAAATCCTCCACACAACTTTACGACCGAGAACTTCTAATGCTTGCTCATATGATGCTATCATCTTTCAGGCCTCTACAACATGTGCCAAGACGAGAATGCTGAGCCGTTTGTAGAGTTTGGTCTTTATTCGTCGAGACAGGACTCAACTTTTCAACTACCTACTCAGTTCAAAGTAGTTACTATATGATCAGATGCCGTTTTAAGAAGAAATCCTATTTTCGTAAATTAACTAAAGGACCCGGCGAACTTCGCAACGCCTCAATTCCATGCATTTGGATTAACTCCGAATATTCTCCTCTATGGCAAAGCGACTCTACAAAAAATTTGTGATTTAAAAACAGTTGAAAATTTGAATGATTTAACAACAGTTGATCTTGGAGGCCACGCCACACTCCCTAGGAGCATAATAATGCACCAAAGTTTTCGTGAAAAATTGATTGTATTGTTGGCCGTCTGTCATGTAGCGCCGTCTTGATGGAATCAAAGGTCGTCCACATCAACGTCCTCCAATTCAGACACGAAAAACTCACTAATCATGGCTTTATAGCGTTCCTCATTGACTGTAACATTATAACCAGCTTCATTTCTGAAGAAATATGATGCAATGATTCCCTCTGCCCCTAGAGCAACGAACATGCATCGCGGTTGGTGGTTGTTCGGCTTCAATTATTGCGCGGTTTGGGTTTTGTAAGTCCGTAAGTTAATTTCCTTCAGAAAAATCATCCGTAAAGTGAATGCGTACAGCTTCAATTGTTGTGCGCTATTGCGGATGAGCTCATTCGGGTATTCTTCGACACTCTGCTCTAGAGAAGCAATAACGTCGTCGGTACGCAACGTACGACGCCTCAAAGCACGCGCTTTATCCACTAGAATAAGCGTGGTGCATAACCAATAGACGATTGCTTGAATCGCCGACTCTGCTGGGCGATTATATCGTCCGAATATTGGATGCCAACCGAACAATTATTATGGTGATAAATTTACACGTCTCGTAAATGTTGGTCAAGTATTGATTCACTGAAAGCCACTCGTCTCAAGTGGAAGTTTTGAATGAAAGGTTTAGGAAGAGCTACTCCCAATAATATGAAAAATGTGCACGAGAAAGCGTTAACAATTTCTTTCAGAAACTGTTATAAATTTTCGAATTCGACGAGAAAAAAAAACGTAAAATACCAAATAATAATTATTTTCTCAGGCTCGAAAATGTACCGCAGTGAGCGTATCAAAATTAATATAAAAATCAAGTATAAATATTCACAATTATATTTTTATTTAAAATGTCTCTTTAACCATATTTTGTTTTTGATTATTTGTCAAAAAATTATATTATAAAGAGAAACGATTTCAGGGAATTACTTTCGAATAAGTGAATTTGGTTATTGTAGATCTTAATAAATCTCTACATATCTATAAACTTAAGGAAACATTATAATATTGTACATTCACAATGCATTTTCTCAGGGAATATTATTTTCAAATAATATTTTAAGACTTTAGACTGTTTGATACTACAATTAAACTAGTCACTCTATGTACAGTTCATGATAACTCAGATACCATGTTGAAACTATTTGCTACTAATTTACATTTCTACAACTTCTTGTGTATGAAATCGTTGCTTATGTACGGGTTCAGATACGATTACCTAGTCGCTTGAATCAGCTGGCGACGTCGCACTGCTACTCGCCACGAACATTCTTTGCGATCTTTTTAATTTACGATTCTACGTTTACTTTTTGTGCTTAACAACTTTTTGTATACCTCCGCCGAAGTTAACTTTTTTCATGTACAATATTTATGTATGTTTTTTCTGTGATTTGTTGCGTGTTGTACTCCAACTACTCGTACTTGATTTTGACTCCGCTACATAGACGACAATCGACGATTTCCGATTCTCACTTGCTTCAACGCCTGCAACGTGACGACGTTCCGCTTCGGTTTGAACGCCTTAGCACCGCTCCGATTTCTACTTATATTATATCCATTTATTTTTCTTCGATATCGATGAGCGGAGTCTACGACCCCACATAAGGTTGTATCATACAATTGTCCCCTGCAAATGTTGCGGTGATTGCATTTGACCGGATTGTTGGGAATCCTGTTGTGGCACTTGTAGCGGTGAATTGTTGTTACTCGTTGTGGGTGAATTACCAAGATCGGCGGTGTTGATGGCGAGCGATGAACCACCGCCCAGTGTGGAGCCGCCGAGGGCTGAGGGATTTATGCCACCGCCAGGACCACCGGCAACGATGCAGGGTACACCGAGTATGGGTGTTGGTTCTTCGGGTGGCGTGACCTGTGTATGCATGTGTGTGTGTGTATCAAAGAGTAATAGAGAGTGTATGTGGAGTTAAGCTTTAACTGTTTTTTTTTGTAATCAAACACTAACCTCTAAGCCTATACTGCCGTTTAGCGCAATCTTAATGGGGTTCGTGTGATTCGTTGCTTGCATTAGCGTCGTGAAGTGACTAATGCCGATCTCTTCCAGTGAAGATTTCCGCCGGCCATGACTAACACCCACATTGGGCAAGCCTTGCCGTAGAGATGAGGAGCGCCGTAGCAAAATATCATTGTCGATCTGCAAGTGGAAATAAACGGAACGAAACCGATTCAAAAACGGGAAATGTACCAATTTTTATAACACAACAACATAAAATGGGGTGTCGTTTTTGAGTGATTGCAAATAATAAAAATATATTTTAGAGAACAAAAAATTACAACACTAATTAGTATAAAAATTGCTTTGGATTTACTTTTGCAAAATATTTTTTAAACGTGAATTAAACAACTAAATAAAATTTGAAATGAAAATAACGTCAAAAAAATCTCTTTTTTTTTGATTTGCGATCAATATTAGTCCATATAAATTTGTATATATATATATTTAAATACGATATATAAATGCTAATTAATCGGATGCAAATACGAATGTGATGATTTGCACGACTCCACTAATATCCTCGCTCGCGGTGAACTCAAGCCATCAACTATCAGCCTGTTGGTTACACACACATATGACGCACACCGTTGGTGGATGGTGTGTTGGTGATAAATAGTGATAGAAATGTACTTGTACTCGCATACACGGTGCTCGGTGTTCGGTGAACGGTAGTGGCGGTGTCGATGCTTTGGTTGCAGTTGTGTTGGTTGGTGATTGTGGTTGGTGCCATACTTAACAGTAGATTGCGGTTAACATATGTATGGTTCATGACGTGGGTTAGTGATGAAAGGAATGTATGATTTTAGTAACGTGAGATAGTGATAGTGGGATCGTTTTGGTTTAAAGGTGTTTTATAAAGTCTACAATTGCATGGATATACAAAATAAAATAAAACAAAACAAAATAAAAAAAAAACTAAAATAAAATAAAATTAAATAAAATAAAATAAAACAAAATAAAATAAAATAAACTAAAATAAAATAAAATAAAATAAAATAAAATAAAATAAAATAAAATAAAATAAAAATAAAGTAAGGTAATGTAATTAAATTAAATAAAATAAAAAACAAAATAAGAAATAAGTTAAATTAAAGAATTTAATAAATAAATAAAAAGAAAATATGAAAGATAAACTTAAGTTCAATAAAATAGTTGTTGATAAAATTACATGCATATAAAACAATTTTACAATAAAAAGAAAAAATAAATTAACTTAAATTAACATGTACAAGGAGAATTTGGGGAAGACACTATGGGTTAATTTTAAACACAAAGATACTTTTTATACGAAAAATTTTATAATAAGGAAATCATAAATCTGTTTCAGGTAAACTACGAATTTTTCAAGTAAAGAAGTTCTTCTCTTCTACGCTAAGCTATCTTTTTAGGTACGAAAAGAGTGGTTTTCTACTGACGCTTAGGCTGTGACTAAAGTGATAAACAGCTCATTGGTACTATATCAACAACTACAAACTATAACTTGAAAATATTTGACAATATAATCTCTCTCGGGGGCATAATCAATAACAATGTCAGCCTAGAAGTGCTAACGCAAGTCTGCTCTTACTGGTGCTTATGACAATAAAAATACAAGCCTTCTATGGATGAATAAAACCCATTTTAGAGTTCGCTCAAAACTCCCTTCTACTAAATATGTATGTGTTAGAGTCACAGAATATAGATTGAAGAGACGATTTTCACACAATAAATTTCTTGAAAATACGCAACAGCGGACATAACATCCTGTTTTGAAGGGTTTAATGCTCGCTGGTGGAAGCAGGGGCTGAGAAGAATCTTCACAGCAGTAGTCACGTATTTCCTGTGCTTACCATCTAACATTGGATCCTTTGTTCATGATTCGATCTTGGTACGAGAGCAAAAACTTTTTGTAGAAATCTATATTAGAAATCGGAGTAGAAGTCGGGCCAAAAACTTAACCAGAAGAGATTCAAATTAACCTAGCCTTGGTTAGAAAACTTCGAAATAAAAACAAAATAAATTTCTGTAAAAATTTGCATTTGAAAATGAAAACACAGTTATGAAAATATGAAAATCATTTTGCTGTACATAGTGGGGCGTGAAGGACGGACAATTAGAGGTGAGAAAAATGCAAAATTAATACGTGAAACACGAGACATGTATACACACAAACAAAGAGATAGAAAACACAATAATGAACAAAATCAAATCCCAGAAAGCAAACAAGTAATGTGTTATAACGTCAAAATGGGAAAAATGGATAGAACATAGTATATAGTATATGTAGTAGCCAACCCGCAATGAATTGCTCCGGCCGCGCTGTGTGCCAACAACCGTCGGACTGTCGGGTAGAGAAAGAGAATTGGATTTAATTTGTTGTATGGGCGGCGAGCAGCGTGGCGAACCATACCCGGCCAACGTTTGTACGCTTTGCATTTGCATCGGATTGAGGCCGGCTATGCCGGAACCACGACGCGAACCGGCACCAGCAGCTGCAGCACTCACATTTGGACCGCACGCGGCACCCAAATTGATATTCGAACAAAAGGATATGTTTGATTTGCGTCGTGAATTGTGTCGCTCAAATGTCTTTTGTGCTGAGAATGGTGATGGACGCACCAAGTAGCTGTGTGTGAGGAGAAAAAGCAAATGTAAAGAGAAACGGTGTTAAAAAATGTCCTATATTTAAATGTATATATGTACTCGTATATATATTTCAAATTAACATTTCATTGTACTCACATAACATCGCCCTCCTCCAACTTAAGATCACAGCTCGGATTGATTATCACATATGATAGATGATTACGCTTCTCGCTAACATCGTCATAATCGATTGTCGGCAAATTCAACGACTCCATACGACTGCGCACGAGATTCGCTATTTCCGCACGTTCGATTTGTTGCGCATGATTATTGCGCGCCTCGTCGGCCAAATTGATCGAATACTGAAAAAACATAGAAGACTGCTTTACGATTAGTCTACTTAGTTCGGTTGCGTCAAATAGTAACTCTACGTGTTGTTGTTTTTTTTTTTTTTTTTTGTTTTTTTTTACTTTAATTTTTTTATTTTTTTCACTTTGTTTTTTTACCTTTTTTTTTTTTTTGTTACGAATATTACGTTTGCATGGCAGGCATGTACTCCCTGATGGAGCCATATACATATTTACACATTCGGATGCAGTTACGAGACAACAATCACTAAGTTAGTATAATTTTGTTTTTGTGTTTTTTTTTTTTTAATTGTAATAAAGTGAGCATCTAAATAATCGCATTGTGGGTTGCAGTTTAGTAATAGATTCCTATTCTACTCTATAGCACTAAATCATTCACTAGATCTCTGACGCCTTGCAAGTGTTTCTACTAGATGTTTTCTAAATAGCATAAAATATTCGAGCAGCATGAGTTCGGTAATAATTTTTTATTGTTTTTTAATACAAGTTGCAATATTTTTTAAAAATAAAAATGTTTTCGTAGTAGCTCTAGTACTATTCTATATTATTTCTTCAGTTGTAATGCAAAGTGCTGGCATTCACTATATTCTATTTACAAATGCTTAATCAGTTATTATTAGTGATCATAATAATTTACCAAATACCTACCTTTGGGCATAATTTCTAATTTTTTCAATAAAAAATTTAATATTATTTTCTCATTAATAAATATAATATTATTTTCACATTAATAAATATAATATTTTTATATGCTTACTAATTAATTATCAATTTTTAATACATAAAAAAATTTATTAATTCATAAGTAATGTTTTATCAAACCAGTTTTTACGTGTTGGTTGATAAAAATATTACTGTACCACATTAATATTCTCGCAATGTATTGGATGAGTGCATAAGTTCGTGCCCGATTCCGCTGGATGCCGTTCGAATCGTTTGAGAGTGGCGCTCGTGAAAGAAATATATACATATTATATATCGTTGGAAAGGTGACAGTCCGAACTGTAAATCAAGCATAAAATAACTTCATTTTGATTTGAGTTGCTTAGTGAAAAGACGCATGGAAGATGGACAACGAAAAAGATCATATGCGTCATATTATGTTATACAAATTCCCCAAAGGAAAAACAGTTGGCGCTGCAACTAAAGATATTCGCGAAGTTTATTTGGACCGTGCTCCAGCGGAGTGCACAGTAAAGAAATGGTTCGCGAAATTTCGTTCTGGAGATTTTAACCTCGAAGATCAACCTCGCAGTGGACGGCCTTCTGAGCTTGATGACGATGTTCTAAGGACTTTAGTTGCGAATAACGGAAGAGGTTGCCAGTGAATTGAACGTCAACAAATCAACTGCGTTTCGTAGTTTAAAAAAGGTTGGGTACACTTTGAAGCTCGATAAATGGCTGCCAAATCAGTTGAGTGAAAAAAAAACAAAGTGAACTGCATGTCAACAGGAATTTTTTAGCTTCGACGAATCAAAAACGACCCTTTTTTGGATCGGCTCGTGACTGGTGATGAAAAATGGATCCTGTACAACAATGTTCAACGCAAAAGAACATGGAAACAGGAAAACGAAGGGGCGGAACCGATGTCGAAAGGTGGATTGCATCCAATGAAGGTACTGCTGTGCATTTGGTGGGATATCTGAGGCGTGATCTATTTTGAGCTCTTACCAGCTGGAGAAACGATCACTGCCAAGAAGTATTGTCAGCAATTGGTCGAATTGAAGACAGCAATTGATGAAAAACGTCCGATTTTGGCCAATCGCAAAGGAGTTCTTTTCCATCATGACAACGCCAGGCCACATGTTGCAATACCGACCCTGGCCAAACTGAAGGAGATGAATTGGGAAATCATGCCGCATCCCCCATATTCACCCGACATTGCGCCTTCTGATTATCATTTGTTTCGATCGCTGCAGAACAATTTGAATGGAAAAAAATTTAAAAATGTGGAAGACGTTTTCAACGAGAAACCGCGCGATTTCTATGAATCAGGCATCCGTAAATTGGTTGAACGTTGGGAGTGGGTTGCCGAATATGATGGCGAATACATAATTGATTAATAAAAGCGCTTTCTTCAAAAAAATTCAATTTTAGCTTGCACTTGAAATCGGGCACGAACTTATGCACTCATCCAATATATACAACGACTATTTTTAGTAATATGCAATGTGCATTACTGGTGTATTATTATTATATAATAATTATAAATAAACTTACTAGAATAAATATAAGGATTAATAGCTTTTTTTTGTACAAATAAAATATTTGCTTAGGCCAAGGACCTAAATTTATTCAAACGTTACCGACCCACCCTAATAGATAACATAAATACGCTTACCGAGTAGCTGTTAACTTTCGTTAAGGAAACAGTTCGGTAGCTGGGAATTATATAAAGTTAAAACCGGTGAATATATATATTTTTCCAGAATAACAAGGCACTAATTCGTGAATGTCATTGTAAATATCTTTATTATGAATAAATTATTTGAATTATACAATTCCGTCTGTTTTCTTTATTTTCAAACACTCATCTATGGCGCGAATTCGCTATACTTGCCACCTGCGCTCCGAGAATAAGCAATATTTATAGACTAAAAATCGATTTACGTATACCCTTTGAAGTTATCGATAATTTTATTTTCTACACATAAATAATAATAATATCCCTGCAGGGCAAAGCCAACCAGTATGCAAAAATTCTAGTTAAATACTAGTATGTTGCAGATGAAATCATACCAGTAGCGCTAGAAATAACAATTTTCACCACTGTTTGTTGTTGTTTTATCGGCAGACCATGACTGAATTCCATTATCTGCTCTGTTCTATTGAAGTGTGCAAAATGACATTAACCGTTGCATCGTCATAATGGCCTCGGTTCGTTTTTTAATTTTTGGTGAAACACCTCCACGTCATTCGCATGTTGTTTTTGTTTTTAGTATGACACGGCTGAGTTTCATTTCCAAAAAAAGTTCTCTTGATGTGCGCAAATTTCGTTCCTCCATATATCACAACGGTAATCTGGTGGTTAGAGGTCTTCACTGTGGAGCGTGTGAGTCTTGGTTCGATTCTCGCAGCCGGCGAACTGAATTTTATTTGATTTAGTTTTTTTTTTTTTTGGTGAAGTAGAAACTCAACATGCATAAATGAACTAGTATTAAACTAGTATGAAGCTGAAGCTTAGTAGGAAAATTGTCTGCTCGTAAGACATCGCCGTGTTAAAAATACCATGGAAAATGGATGAAGATGAACTAGTTGGTGTAAAAATTTAAACTAATTGGATTCTAGTTGACAACTAGTATCTTCCCCTGCAGGGATATCAAATTCGTTACTCTATCGAGGAATCATTCCAAAATAATCACATACTTATTTATTTATCATTTAGAGTAGAGGTCGAAATAAAACATACGTGAACGTATGTACATCTCGTCATGTGAAAAAGTGTTTTGCGTATAACGACTGAATCGATAGTGAATGAAATATTCGGGGGCATGCAAGCCAGGAAAAATGTAAGCAAAATCTAAATATGTAAAAATTAAGGGTGTCTCATTTTTAGACGGTTGGTTCGAATAATTTCATTTCATCCGAAACGTCCAATTTTTGGCGGCCACTTTTTGCAGCCATTGCGGCCGTATGTCAGCAATAACGCGCAGAATATTATTTTATAAGGCGTCAATCGTCTTGGGCTTGTCTATGAAGACAACAAACTTCATATAACCCCCCAAAAAATGGTTCAGCCAATCTGCAAGTCTACGACGGAAGATAGCTTACAAAAAGTTTTCTTCAATACATTTTTTGTTTCGTTCGCTGTATGGCATGCAGCGCCATCTAGTTGGAACCAAAGGCATCACGGCTTCAAAGCACGCTCCATTGAGTATAATATTATAGCTGACTTTGGACCAATGATTCCCTTAGTCCTTAGAACACACCAAAGAGACACGGTATCAATGGCAATCTCGTTTTATACCCATTCTCTGAATGCGGCGCGCTAGGTGGTTGTTTGGCTTTACCACTTGCACGACTTAGACTTGGTAAGTATTCGAAGCAAGATTTATTCGTAAAATCTCTCATAAAATGGATGAACTCAGCTATAATTATTGGGCAGACGGACTCATTTGGGGTTTCTTCGATACTCTGTTCTAGAGCAGAAGGGTATACGAGGTGAGACAATTAAGTCACGAAAATGGAAAAACTACTTGATCGGGTTATAACAGGCGATGAGAGCTGATTTTTTTAATACGACCCGAAAACCAAACACCAAAGCCTTGGAATCGTCCACAAAGAATTTCTCCCACCGGAGTAAACCGTAAATCAAGTCTACTATCGCCAAGTCCTCGAAAGATTGCGAAAACGAGTTAACAGGGTGCGCCCGGACATCGTTCCCAGCATTTGGTCTCTAAAGGGATCGGCGTGTTGCTACAACCGCTTTATTCGCCCGATATGTCACCCTGTGACTTTTTTTCGTTACCTAGATAAAAATCGGAACCCATTTTTAGTTGATTGCCATTATGGGGCAATGAATATGCTGCCAAGCTACGGGCGACGAAAAGCGCTTGCAGATCGACTGTGAGCTGAGTCGTCGCCGCATCCTTACCAATTGAAAAGGGATTGATATAGGGCAGGAAAGGATAGGAAAAGAAAGGAAAGGAAAGGAAAACTATTAATGAAAAATACTGGGTAAAGGCCTTTGAATGAAGATATGTTTATTATGCCTTCTTCCCCGTACTTCCTGCATGTGTCTTCATTGCTGAAGCTCATTTGGCGTGTCATTAGGCCAACAGCTGTCCTGAAATACTTTCGAGTTAGGAAAAAATCTGGTTGCATTCCTTTGGTGCTTTCTCACATAATCTTTGCGACTCGAAATGTCGTTAGGGCATTCCATCTCACACTGATCCGTCTGTCAGCTCTTTTGGAAATACCACTGTACAACCTTCAGACGGATTTGATATTCTTATCAACCATTTCGTTCTATAACCGCTCTCCTGCAGCCACTACATCCATCGCCTACCTGTTTCTAAGGACATTCCTTGATGCAAGATGTTGTGAGTTTATTGCCCTAATAGCTGCTTGGCTATCGACGTACAGTCCACTATGCCAGAGCACCGTGGAACAAGATTGACTTGACTACCACTGAGTAAGACAAATGCCGAAGGATAGACGATAACCTCCATGTAGACCCCATCATCTGTTTACTTGTGCAAATACACAGCTGTCCCTATCTGCTCACTCACTTCCACATTGCGTGCTCTATATAGAACCCAGCATCTGCTTTTATCTCTAGAGGGCACAAATGGTTCTCTCTTCAACCTCTCTTTCATATTGGCTTCCCATATTTGTTGGCTTTCCAAAATTACACCCAGGTACTTGGAATGATCTTCAATTGATCTCTCAACCCGTTAAACTTCAGGGCTTAACATGCCAGGATCTTGTACCTTCTTGTACAGAGTACCGTATCGGTTTTTTTATATAAGTATATATACAAATCCAGACTGGTGAAAAGAGAGCAATAGAATTTCGTATCAGTATATTAATTGGAGATTTCCTTTTGTAAATCTCTATCCTTACCACTATTGATACGCATAAAGTAAATTAATTTATTTATTATGCTATAATTATTAATATTACAATAAAAATAAGTTATCGATTTAAAAATAAAAAAGTATACTTGCTTTTATTACTAAACACTTAAACACATTTGCTTATACAGATATATACATATTCAAGTACCTGCAAGCATACATCTAGGCGTTCAGCATGTGTGACACATAATGTGCAATTTACACAACACTTGTGAGATTTTCGACCATTTATTCTTAATGTTATTCGTGTTTATCAGATTGAAATTGATATTCTATTTAGTTTTGTTGTTTTGTACTTACTGATGACCCTTTCCGTTCCGAGCAGCCACCCAGACAGGTGGTGGATTTGTGTTGTGATGGATGGCTTGGATGATGATGACCCGATGCCGATGGCGGTCGGTAGGTAACGCCGCGAAGGACTTCACTGCTGTCCTTCGTCGAATCGGGTGTACCCGCTTCTTCGTCATACTGTACCGGTACCGTTATACCGTTAGGCGATCGGTCGATTGTTCGATTGTTCGATTAGTGATGGTGGTGGTGGTTACACATGAGCGTGTGTTTTTATTTAATTCAATTTTTTTGTGGTAAATGTAGTTGTTTTTTTTATTTTTTTTTTGGTAGCAGTAATGCAAATGTTAGATACAAAATGAGTTTTTAATTGAGTTTGAAATTTCATTCTTTAAAATAAATTTTTAGTGTAGAATTTAAGAGTAAGTTTTTTTATAAAAAAAATAAATCAAAAGAAATGAAGTTCTGCTTTATGTTCTTTTAAATACTTATAAGAAGAAGACATATGCACACACACACACTCAGACGTATAAAAAAAATAATGGCATGCATGATAGATTAGTGAGGGGGTATTAAAAGGGTTTTCAGAGGAGTTGTCTAAAATAAATATTAAAAAAAAATTAATAAAATGTGAGATCAATGCATGTAAAGAGTTTATAAAACCTTTAAATGTGTCCACATGAACCACCGTAATACTTTAAGTGGAATCTCTTCTGTTTGTCCAGGCAATTCTTCTCACTAAAAAGTATTTATTGTATGAGTGCATAAGTTCGTGCCCGATTTCAAGTGCAAACTAAAATTGAAATCTTTTGAAGAAAGCGCTTTTATTAATCAATTATGTATTCGCCATTATGTTCGGCAATCCACTCCCAACGTTCAACCAACTTACGGATGCCTGATTCATAGAAATCGCCCGGTTTCTCGTTGAAAAAGGTGTTAAGGTGGTTTTTGACGTCTTCCACATTTTGAATTTTTTTTCCATTCAAATTGTTCTGCAGCGATCGAAACAAATGATAAACAGAAGGTGCAATGTCGGGTAAATATGGGGGATGCGGCATGATTTCCCAATTCATCTCCTTCAGTTTGGCCAGGGTCGGTATTGCAACATGTGGCCTGGCGTTGTCATGATGGAAAAGAACTCCTTTGCGATTGGCCAAAATCGGACGTTTTTCATCAATTGCTTTTTTAACTCGACCAATTGCTGACAATACTTGTTGGCAGTGATCGTTTCTGCAGCTGGCAAGAGCTCAAAATAGATCACGCCTCGGATATGCCACCAAATGCACAGCAGTACCTTCATCGGATGCAATCCACCTTTCGACATCGGTTCCGCTCCTTCGTGTGCCTGTTTCCATGTTCTTTTGCGTTGAACATTGTTGTACAGGATCCATTTTTCATCACCAGTCACGAGCCGATCCAAAAAAGGTTCGTTTTTGATCAGTCGAAGCAAAAAAATTGCTGTTGACATACGGACTGTCACCTTTCCAACGATATATAATATGTATATATTTCTTTCACGAGCGCCACTCTCAAACGATTCGAACGGCACCCAGCGGAATCGGGCACGAACTTATGCACTCATCCAATAAAAACTAGTTTCACATTTCTTGCTAGGCCTACGAGGAACTGTGCAGAAGTTTTCAAACCTAAGCTCGTAACAGTAGCTCTGAGAGAGCATCTAACAAAGAGTTGATTGTGTGAAGTTACTAAAGGCGGCAAGCTGTAAAGGATTCTGCCGTGTACTGGGTTAATGCAAATGTAAATGTAGTAGTCCGACACTCATAGTAAATGCTAATCTAAATGTCTTCCGCAGAAATATTAAATCAGTTTGTGGGTAACAGTTTGTGGTCAGTGAAGAGATCTTAACAGACAACTTGCGCACTTTATTCTCTTTTGAGCATTCAAATCACTCTTGTCAATAATCTCCTATAAAAATACTATGATAAAAAGGTAGAGTATACGTCGACACTCTCAGAAAACAGAAAGAAAGAGCATCCGAAAATCCTCATCTCTAGAGCAGTTTAAGAATATTTTTCCTGAGAAAAAATACTTCGAACTTTTTTTCTCCAACGATGGCTGATTTTTCATGCGTGGGTATATCTTATTTTTCACTGACGAAAAAACCGCTTGCGTGATTATCGTCGGTTCAACAATAGCGGTTGCAAGATTAAGCCTCTATGACGAAACATTCCCAAATGAGTTGAGGTTTATTAACTTCGAGGGCACCGAAATATGGTTGACTCTAGTACTAGAATCCCAAATAAAAAAAAAATAATAATAATCAAGCTACAGGGCCCAAGCCGTTCATCTCATGATTGACAGAAGACATGTCTCCAGTCCGAAGGTAGTGGGTTTTAGCAGACAAAAACAGGGAGAGGATGAAATACGTAAATATGAGTTCTATGAAAAGATGCGTTGACTCATAGAAGGATCCCATACTGGACCATATTCATGTGTGATGACCAGCGCATACTTGCTATATGGAGGGAACACTTCTTCATGGAAGTGCAAGACCCGTGATGGTAAGCCAGAAATTCCAATCGGTAATGATAGAAAAGACATTCCAATGGTAAACAATGATGAGGTTCGAATAATTGTCCGTTTAAAGAACAACAAATGGGCTGTAGTTAATGGCCTATCGACAGAGTTATTCAAACATGGAGGTGAAGTGCTGACAAGGTACATGTCGGACGAGAGCATGACTGGCGAGTGGAAGCCAACTACTCTCTATCCAATCCATAAAAAAAGGGGTCTTCACAGTCTACAGCAACTACCGTGGGAAACGCTTCCTCAATAAGAACTTAACGAGTCGTGCGATAGACTAAATCCCACCGTCAAGAAACTGATAAGACTTTTTCAATGTGGCCTTATACGTGGTACTCCAGATATGGAAAAGACGATCGACACCCACCACTTCTTCGTTGATTTTAAAGCAACCTTAGACAGCACAAAAAGGTGTTGCCTCTACGCCGCTACGTCTGATATACCCACAAAACTTATGAGGCTATCTAAACTAACGTCAGAAGCGTAGTTAGAATTTCGAAGATCCTCTCCGAGCCGTTCGTTATCAAATGAGGTTTCAGACAGGGTAACTCTTCATCATGTGATTTTCTCAACTTGACGCTGGAGAAAATAATAAGAGTTGGAGGGTTCAATAGACTAGCTGCAATCTTTAAGAAGACTATACAAATGCTGGCATAGACCGATAACGTTCATTCCACAGACTTGATACCATAAAGAAGCCAGGGAAACAGGATTGGAGGTGAAAGAAGGCACGAAAAAATAGCTACTGTCTTCATACAAACAGTAGTCGCATTCGATACTCGGCCCCTACGTCATTTTTGACCGTCATAACGTTAACGGCGTAGATAATTTCGTATGGATAGGAGCCAGTATTAACACCAATAATAATGTTTGACTTCAAATCCAACGCAGAATCACTCCTGCCAAAAGATGCGATTTTGTATTGAGTAGGCCATTGGGACAAAAAACGTAGATCAAACTCTACAAGTCACTCACTCTCTCCGTCCTGCTGTATGGTGCAGAAACTTGGATAATGTCGAGATCCGATGAGTTGACCTGGGGAACGATAAAGCGGTGAATATTGCAGCCGATGGAGCGATGAGCTTTACGAAGTAAACGATGACGTTCACATAGTTCAGCGAATCAAGCTAGATCATGTCATCCGAATGAATAAAAGCGATCTAGCTTTCAAAGTTTTCGATACAGTACCTGCTGGTGGAAGCACTGGGAAATGAAGACCTTTCAGCTGCGAAAATAAGGAACGAACGGCGCGCCATTGTAGATTCGGCTAAAAATGCGTGAGCGGTCCCTACACTAATGAAGAAGAATTGGCAAGGAGTTTTGTCTCTACTCAGATTCATAATGATAAGCCATAGTAAAACCTCTATCAGCAAATTTCACTCAATACACCATTATCTTTTTTTATTATTAGAAAGGCCCAAAAATGTACGTTAACACGAGCTCTACGAGCTGTTGTGTATGCGGGGGCCTTACCAGCATCTGACCTTAGTTTTACCCAGATGGGAAATTGATTGCATACATTCGAGCGCCATTTGGAGAACGGGTGACAGTACTAAATAAGTTGGATTTTATTGTTTGAGTGAAGGGTAAAATGGAATGAAAGAGTATGACATGAATTGAAAAATAATCAAATGTGTAAATTATATAAAACGAATAAATGAACAAAATATATGCACAAGCCAAATAAATTTCCCCAATTTAATACAAAAATATATATTTTTAATTTGATTTAAAATAATTTACATTTTCATGAATTTACATGTATGTAAGTAAGTTTAAACATTTGTATATACGTGTAGTCATATGAATTTTATATATCGATTTCGAATATGAAGTAGTATGTATATGTGTGTGTTCAATCTACCAGGCAAATATTGATTTATTGAATACTATCTACTTTGTTTCGTTAGAAGTAAATTCTTCGTGTACTAGTTTTATCTAAGAAGCATAAACAAAAATTATTACTAAAATTTAATTCAAAACAAATATAAAAATAATGCGAACAAGTCAAATTATGAAAAAATATACTACAAAAATTAGTTTCAAATGACACAACGTGTAAAGAAATATTTTCTAATAAATTTTCATTAATTTTGTGAGCTTAAAAATAGGCAAACAAAATATTTTCTCTTTCAATAATTTTAGAAAAAAATAAGTGGTTGTGCTAAAAGGGGGGAAAATCATAAAGAAAAATACTGAATAAAGCATAAATTTGCTGATACTAAGCTTAACATGATGAGAGCAAACATGCATTTCTTGTTCAAATAAAAAATAAAAATTCAAGGAAGAACAGTCATGCAGGCAGTAAACTCATTTTAAATTCATATATGTATATACTCGTAACTAAAAGCATGCAGCTTTAAAGCTTCTACATTAAATTTGAATTTTTTTCAATATAAGCAGAACTTTTCTAAAAAGCAGAATTTCTATAAAATATTTTCTTTCAATTGTTTTACAATTTCTATGCACGAACAAATTAAGCAATGCAATAATTTCATTTGGTAAAAAGCTCATTAACAGAAGCGGAATATATTTTTATATACAAAATACGCCGCGGTGTTGTATCTGGTATAAAAGAGAAAGAAAGAGCGAGAGAAAGAAGGAGAGACTCACTGCGTGCGTGTGCGCTATTATCA